AAAATTTACTCATTACTTTTTCTAATGATTAAACAAGATTAATAATTATTGGTAATTTCTAATCAGCTGATATGAATAATTCCTACTGTAATGTTGATCTACTTTGCCATAGAGACATAGTTTTATTTCAAGTGCTTTAAAAACAATATATCAAAGGAAATGGTAAACACTTTGCTAAACTATTATAGAAAACACTCCAGGTGCTGCTAGTTATTAAAATTAATAAAGTAATAGAAACATATCTATAACATGCTGCACTTTACAAACTTTTGACACCTCAAACTGAAAAGACATTTTGCAGAAGAACAAACATTTTGGACTCCTTCCTCTTCCTCATTCTCCAGTTTTCAAAGTTATACAGATTGAAGTGATTTCGCTTCACATGTGTTGTACAGAAAGCAAAATCTTCATGCCTGTAAAAGGAAAAAGACGACGTTACCGCCTTGATACGTTTGCAAAAAAACTTGCCTACCATCCAGAGTAGAGTGGGTGGAGGTGCAAACATTGGAGGTGTGATAGGAAGTCACACTTTGCAGAGAATGCCAGTTTTGTCAGTCCTTTTTGTGACCTTTGAATATTTTGTGTTTATACGCCTGAGTGTTTGAAAACATCGTCCTTACTAGATCTCATGTTTCAGTTGTCCCACTACCCCAGAGTCTTTTCCCAGTGGAGGGAAAGATCTGTGCTGACAAAATGAAGTTCACCCATCCGTGATGATGCTGGTCAGTGACGCTTTGTGGGAATTGATGCTGCACAATCTTGCTTCACAACCAGCATATGGACTATGGCTAAACAGATGTCACAGTATGAACAGGGCAGACACAGCAGGTTATTTTTTCAAGCATGACATTCTAACCGCATGATATTTTTCAGAACACTTAAGTGTGAGCATTCCCTATAGAGTGCATCTGGCAGCAAGTAACAACATAGATACAGATAAGAGGAGAAAATGAGACCCAGCTTTGTATGTTAATATTGTTGACAGCAGCTTACTGCCTCCTCTTGAGGAATGGCTCTGAAGTCATGAAGGGATAATCAGCCCTGTGCTTCTGTGAGCTACCAGTTTTTTTTTTTTTTTTTTTTTTTTTAAGACATGTATGTGGGGGGTATATTGTGTTTTATTGCTGGCATAGAAACGACAGAGAGCTGTCAGAGAAAACAAGACAACATGTAAAAGCATGGGCGCAGAAGGGAGGGAGAGAAAGTGAAGTAGGAGTGGAGACTTGGGTTGACAATTCTTCCCATTGCAGCTGGAGGTTTTGGCAACACAGAGTGTCAGAGCTTCGTTTCTATTGAACTCTGCAGCCAGACTTTGCAGTCTCCTTGGTTCCAACTCCATTAGGTGACAAAGGAGCTTTTGGGAGAGTCAATGCCTTGGCATAACAAGCTTCTGGGCTGCATAAAGACACCCACAACTGTCCCTCTGCATATTAACGAGTGCCCTGTTAGATCACTGTCAGCACTCTTTTCAGCCCACCGATGGCGCGCTGTTCTCCCTTTGATCTGTTTGAGGCAGGTTTGCAAGGCCAAGGTTGTTGTCTATTTTATCCCTCAAGGGTGTGAATGATGCAAACTGCTCTGACTGAGGTTGTTTCAGATTTTCCTATGGGAGACGGAGACGTATGAGGGAGAGAGTTAGTGTTTACAGCATGTGCAGAGGAACTTGCCACTGTTGCACAACTGCCACTAACAGACAAAAACTTTACTTCCTGCTTCTGTTGCTGCTCTCTTTTGGCTCATGTTAGCATCTTGGAAAAAAAAAAAAAAAAAAAAAAAAAAGGTGTGGGCCCCTTATCTTTTCTCATGAAAATCAAGAAATTAAAAAAAAGGAGAAGACTTATCAATGAATAATCCTCTGACTGGTGTGCAATTTAATACAAGTGTCAAGTTCAGAATGCAGCCAAATGAAATTGTATAGTTGATTATATACACATTTTTATGGTCACTAAACAAAAAATCTTTTCATTATTGTGACTTGATTCAAAATGAATCAATGTCAGAACTGGATTCATTTTGAAACCAGTTCAAAATGAATCCAATTCATCACAACGGATAAATTGTAGTGAAATTACACAAATTGTCCTTTATTTGCAAAACACAATATAATGTTATTGTTCGTTGCAAATTGAAACTTAAAGGACGCTGTATTAGGTACATCCTGCTTTTACCAAGTTGACTCTGGTAAAAGAATAAAGTTTCCTTAAGAACTGTATTCTTTAAAAAAAAAAAAAATCACAAAAAGTTTGAGGCATATTTTGGTCCAGGTTGATGTGAAGGCATCATACAGGAGCTGCAAATTGAACTGCTTCACATTCCCGATGAAAACCTCCTGTTTGTCCACATCCCAGAGGTGATTTGCTTGATTGAGATTAGATGTCTCTGGAGGCCACAAAAGTAGTGAACTCATTGTCATTTTTAATGTGAGGTTTGTGAAATGGTGTGTGATTATCCTGCTGAGAATAGTCACCAGGAAATGGTTAAGGTGGTGTTTTTAAAAGTTGAACATGGTCAGCCGCATTAATTACTCGATATGCTTTTTGTTGTTGTTTTGAGAGATGCCTGCCACATAGTACAAAGATAAAAACAAACAATTGAATAAAATAAAAAAAACAAACAAACAAACAAAAAAAAACAACTAAATCTACATTGTGCCTTGTGGCTGATTCTCTATTTAAATTAATAGGCAGTTGAGCCGGTGTCTGTAATAAAGGCTTAAAGTTTTAATGTGTCAGTTGAAGTTTTTTTTTTTTTTTTTTTTGTTCAGAATATCTGTCACAGCTATGACTGTAAGGTCAGTGTGACTTGTTTTTCACAGCTTTTCTCCAAAAAGTTCAGCAATCAGATATAAAAACAAATGACTTCTCATTTCCTATGAGATGTTGCAGTGTGACTAGGCCATCTTTCACAACTCATAAATTCGTCACCCTGGTAACAAAGATAATCTACACACAAAAAAACAAGTGCATATGTTTTCTCTGTTTCTCTGGAAGCATGTGACATAATTTAGCTCATCTTCAGATTATCAACAACATTCCTAGGAAACGGTGGAAAGTCTTTAGAGCTACAGTATGTAACTTTTATTTAAAAAAAAATATGTATTTTACATATTTGTTACTATGTAGTGACAGTGTAAACTGGGACAGATAATCTGTGAAAAGATTGAGCTCCTCAACCTGACTGACCTGCTACTGTTGCACTGCTCCCTGTCAAAAACAACCAGTCAGAGTCAGGAGGAGCATCTTGATGCTGACAATCATCCTTGTGTATGTGCTGATAAATGTGCTAATGGCAGAGAAGCAACTTATCATTCCAGGAAAACTGTGCATTCATGGCAGGCTGGGGTATCAGGAAGAAGCTGTAGCATAGCAGAGAGCAAAGGGGACAGAGAGAGGGAGAGGGATGAGCAGCACGCACGTACACTAGCATGTTTGACATCACTAAGAGCTTCTTCCTGGCTCTGATTGGTTGTTTATAGTCAGCATTTAGAGCACCAGAGGAAGACAATGGAGCACAATTTTTCTCATACTGTACTGTCACAACATCATGACAGTTTCAACAATTATGCAATCTTTTTTTAATTAAAGTTACATACTGAAGCTTTAAGGGGTGAAATTACTATGCATGCTTATCAGAATTTGAAGACATAGTAATAGCTGAACATTTCATTTCCTCAGTGAACTTCAATATAATACCAAGTTTTCTGTTTGCTTTCATGTATAAAGGCTAACCACATCCTGCACCAGCATCCTCTTTTACCAAGCCAAGAGCATGAGTGTTGTGTGTTCGTGGTTTTAGTTCCCCTCCCCACCCCACCTGCCGTCTGTCCCTCTGTCACTGTGCCAGGGTTCACCTGCCTGCCAGGTGTTTCAGTTCTGAAACCTGCGTTTAGCTTTTGAAAGAAGCAGTTACCACGTGGATACCAACTGCTGCCATCTTATCTGATGAAACCAATTTTGCATGTTTGTTTTCAGTTTTCATATCCGGACCCTGAAAGTTCTCAAGCAAACTGAAGCAAAGGAACTTGCAACAGACATTTGGAGGCAGGCGGCACAATAATGACCAGATTTTCTTCTTCATGGATCTTAACTGAGTTTAGGAGCATCAGAAAAGGAACAGAAAATGCAATTAAAAGATGTATCATAATATAATTTTAGAATGGGGTGAAAGGCTAGTAAAAAGTAAGATCACTTTGAAAATGATTCTTTCCCAGGACACATTTCACAGCAAACTCAATATTAATGAACTCCTCTTAAAAAAAATATATATATATAAGAGATGCATTAAACAAGAATAACCCAAAGGACGACTTAAAAATTTCCCAAATCTTTGTTCATTTTATGCTCCAAAATATGTTTTGAATTAAAGCAAAATGCTTTTACATATTTTGTGGTTGCTTGGGTCATTCATCAAGACCAGGCAGATGGTTTTAACAAAGCACAATGAGATGTGTTTGCAGTTTCATAATCTCAGCGAGTGTAGAACGGTGCCGTTCAATGTGAAACCCTCTCAGTCGCTGTGAATTATGTGACAAAAGGATGATGCACCTGTGCACATAGTCAAGAACTTTGCATTTGGCCTGTTCCAAGTATGAAACACTTTATAATGTTTGTTTGGAACATAAAAAAATATATATATATTCTCATTTTCATGTTTTTGTTACATTAACAAGATATATTTTAGAATGTCACAAGATTCATTTATGCCAATAATTATATGAAATAAATAAGCTTTGGACCTTACAAATCCAAAAATTAATATTTTATTTATGGAGTTGTTGTTAGTGGGCCGAATTTAAATGCATTACACACTTCTCTTCCTCCCTCATCTAATATAAAACCTCAGTAGAGATATTAAGTATACTGATTTAAATACAGATCTCTGTGTTGTTGACTCCAACAATAATTAGCTCATTAATTTCTTTTTCCTTAACTTTCACTTTAGTTCTGAATTCCTCACAGTAATAAAACGACTTCTCATTCTGTTTATTTGCTTCTTTCCAGTTAACTCTCGCACCTGCAGTTATGCAGGCGTATTTCTGGTTGAGGGAGAGAGTCGCCACTCTCTGACTCTTGAAATGGCAAGAAAAGTCTGTGAGCAGCTGGAGAGCACAATCGCAAGTCCAGAGCAAGTCCAACTGGCCTATAACAGCAGCATGGAAACGTGCAGGTAAATTAAACTTCCTTCAGAAAAATATTGTAGAAAAAGTATTGTTTCATAAAAATAACACATTAGAGATATTTCATCTTATATAGTAAGGTATATATATTGCTTAGGTAAGACACAATGTAACTGAAGAATGCTATATGCTATGTTTTATTTTCCAAATTTCTAAAGCGTTGTGGATCAAAATCTGAATCGACAACTGTTCACTGTTTTTGTCACTTAAGGTACGGTTGGATCAGCAATGGGAGCAGCGTCATTCTCAGGCACACTCAGCATGAAAACTGTGCAAGGAACTTGACTGGGTTTATTGTTAACTCACATACTGAAGATCAATTTGATGCTTACTGTTATGACGAAAATGGTAAATTGCAAATGAGGAACTATTATGAGATTTTGGTTTATTTTGTTGTTATTATTGACTTTTTGATTTGAAACTTGCTGCCTTATGGTTCCTTGCTACCAGATTTTGCTGAGAAGAACTGCAGCAAGGCTTTCCGGGAAAGCTTACTCTCAGACACAACAGGTCAGTATAACACACCCTCATATTGACTGTGATGGACTGCAAGTCCAAAACAAACACCATGGTGTTTGAAACATTTTTACGGTTGAGATTTGTTGTAGGATTGAGGCATTTGAGGGAAAGTGGCTCCAGTGAAAGATGTACCATATTATGTGACCTCTGATCTCTGTTCTCTAATTAACACAAACGGTTAAACAAATGAACTGTCTGAAACAGGCAGAATCCTGTTTCAGACTCTAGCAAACAATGTCCTTAACTATACAACTGTGTTATAATAACTGAAATACTATAGGGACTTGGTTAACTTAGATGCTGCTTAAAACAAAAATATTATATGTATAAAGTGTATGAGTGAACAAAAAATGCTTATTCTCTAAACAGCTCTGACATCACCACAGCCTCTGACCGATGGCACAACGGAGTCAGAAACATCAGAAACAATCCCAAAGGAGGACAGGATAAATTCTCCAACAGCTGCAACTACATCTGAAGATCTGAGTAAAGATGATTTCACTACGGTTCCTGAGGAGGGAAACCCCGCTGGAGGAAGCAACGTCACTTCCGCTTTCACTACAATGGAGCCAGACCCGAGTGATGGATCTGGGATGGGGCCTGCTCAACCAGAGGAGGAAAAACCAACTCCAGTGATCAACGCTGAAACGACAACATCGAGTGAAAAGAGACCTATTGAAACCAATGGTAAAAACATAAAATCAGAGTTTAAGGAAACTCTAACAGTATGTCCAGTACATCTCAGTAAATTATACGTTATGTTTCAATGAGGTTGATCGGTCAGATTAAAATAAACTTTTGAAAATTACCTTTGAGCAGTTTTAAGTTTTAAGCCTACGTTTCAGAATTAAAAAGTTTATGTTGCTAGTAATACGATTTAAAGATTGAATCTTGTAAGAAATTAAATATTGTAATCTATCTATCTATCTATCTATCTATATATATATATATATATATATATATATATATATATGTGTGTGTGTGTGTGTGTGTGTGTGTGTGTATCTATATATGCCGTGAGGCCTGATGCAACAGGTTTTGGGAGGACAGGAGTAACTAAAGTAACTTTTCAAACAAATGACGCCCCCTTGTGTTAGCTGAAATATATTTTGAGATGAAGTAGAGCCAAATCGGATCAGTCCTACAAGTGAAAAGGCCAAACCATCTTTTTTTTTCTAATGAAGCTCTAAAAAACTGCTTTGTTGGTTGGCAGTTTAACAGGCTTTTTTTGTTTTTTTTTTTTTTGTTTTTCTGTTTTAACATTTTTTATCATTATTTTATTGATGTGCAGATGCCAAACCGAATAGTGGAGGAAGATCGTCTAATTTGGGAAATGATAGTGAGAATAAAAAAGACAGCAGCTCATCAGGTGAGTAACTATACATGTATCTCAAACACCCAGAGATACTATTCATGACGGCAGCCAACAGCAAAATTATCGCAGTGCTCTGTTTTTTTTTTTTTTTCTGGAATCATTTTAACACTGTCACGATATTCATATTTTATTCTATTCTTTCTCCTTTCTAGATTGGCTGGTTGTTCTCGGTGTTATTGTAGCAGTCGGTGCAATTCTCCTTGTGTGTGCAGCTGCTGCCAGGAAAAAAGGGTAATGGCTTGATTGATATGACACTTCTGGTGCTGTCTTTCACAGTTTCAGAGAAAAGTATTTGTAACCAGGAGTGAATTGCATAGTAATTTGGTGCTTTTGTTGAACTGAAAATACAACATACACCTAGAAATTTCTATAGGGAAAACCAGGATGTGTATGTTTAAAGTCGTTAAAAATAGCACATAATGGCTCAAATATAAACATACAGCCTCAGTAGTATTAAGTGAAAAGTCTCTTTGCAGGTTGTACCTTGCTTGCACACACTTCTTGTAGCCATCTGTGAGCCTCTGGTATAAATCTGTCTGGATATTTCACCACTTATCTCATCACAAGTAGTGCATAGTTCATTATCTGTTGGTCTTCTGATCAAAACCTGGCTTTTCAACACAGCCGACAAATTTTCGCATTGAGTGCAGGGCTAGTCCACAAGCTTAATGCTAATCTGTATCACCTGTTCCAAAACCATTTCATTTTTGACCAGAAACAATGCCAAAATGTGCTCAGTTTTCAACCATCTAACTACTGATTTGAGGTGAAGTTGAAGATTTTGGATATAAGACCTAGTCAGATATTAAAGCTTGTTGAATGTACTAACACCACTGGCAACAAAGCAAATCCTCATCATGATGCTTCCACCACTGTGCTTCACACTTGCTGTTAAAAGATTCAAAAGACTCACCTTGATTTTTAACCCGGTTCTCGCTATTGTGACCAAATACATCAAACTTTGTCTGGTCTAATTACAACTTTTCTCCAGCAGAAAGTTTGCTCGTCAAAACGATAATTTCCAATCAGCTGATTGAAGTAAGCGATCATTTCTGATTGGAAGAGTATTCAGACATGCATCCAGATTTATCCCAGAAACTAAAAGGCTACAGTTTCTCTGCAAGCTGCTAGTAGACATGCATTCAAAAAGTGGCAGTGAATGGATATATTTGAGCCTTTATATACAATTCTGATCAGGTGTGCATTAGAGAAAATTCTTAATGGTTTCTTTAATATTTTAAAGGAACCATCTCAAATGAGATTTTGTTTAATCATCACAGAAAAGAAAAAGAACTGTCCAAACTATTCTTCCTCCTCTGGTCTGTTATATGCGCTTCTGATTGCAACAGTGACATGTTTTTTGACATCCACACCATCAATCCAGAGCTACACTTTTAGCTTTTAGCATTTGCAGCTGTTGACTGAACCACTGCAAAAACCCAACATTCGCCCTCAATGTGTTTTTTGCAGGTGGTGTGGCAGAAAGCAAACGCTGAATATCACAACCAAAGACAGCAGCGACGGCAACGGGGTCGCAGCTGCAGCATGCAGCTCCCGCAACCCGGAGAGAGAGCAGGAGATGGTGACCCTCATGAACAAGGAGACCATCCAGGAGAACGGCAACACGGAGGAGTTCACTGTCATCACGTTAGAGGAGTCTCCAGATAAAGACCAGCAGGCCTGAGAGTTGGGCAGGAAAGAGCCGGGAAGGTTGGGGGAAGACTTTTGAGAGGATAAAAGAGTTGGAGGCTATTGGATGGGCTTGTAGTGGACGGGCACTGAGTAAGAGCATTTGAATGTGTCATTTCGTGTTCAACTAAAGTACAAAGTATTGCACAGAAAGCTTTTTAAAGAGGCTAAGCATTTCAGATCAGTGCGCAAGAATGAGAGATTTAGAACAAAATATCAGAATATGTTTATTTTCCGTTCACATTAATTACTGTGTGTGCTATTTTTAATTATTGATTATGGGGAGTTCTAAGAGTGGGTGAAAAGCTTTTTGTTAAATTTGATGACTGTAAAATTCTAGCTAGTAATCTCAACCGGAAAAAGAAATAAATGGTAATTTTCTTTTTGTGATCTTTTATTTAAGAGACAGAGAGAGAGAGAGAGAGAGAAAAAAAACTTCCCTTACTTCTTTATTTTCATGTTTTTCCTTTCTGCACATATTTCAGACATGTCCTGTTGTCTGTAATTGTTGCTTTAAGAAAACTGGGGATGGATCAGTCGCAACTATCTTCCTTTTGATTCTGTTTTCCCTGACTGTGTACATAATATGAAACTTTACAAATGTTGCAATAGCTGCCATTGCTTTTTGTTTTTTTCATAGGAAAATGCTTTGTCGATTTAGTGTGAAGGACTGCTGCTGTTTCTAGTAGTATTTAATCAGAAACTGTACCTTAGAGGTAAATGTTTTGGTTTGTGAAGGTCAGAATAGATAGCATCCTGAATCAGCATGACTTATAGCTTTCCAAAGTGAGTGCTTAGTGCACAACCGACGATGATGAATACAGAAATAAGATTATGTTTTGATCATACCATGTGGATGAAAAGTTTATTATTGGGAATCTGCTTGGCAGATACTGATTTTGAGACAAAACAAAGAACTGGGTGGTATTTCAAGTACGTTTATCAATTTTGAGATAAACTCAAGCTCAATTTTTATGAGACGAGGTGTAAATACTGGACATCCAAAATGAGAAGTTAATCCACTGCAGACGTAGAGCAATGCAAAAGGCTTATTCAAGAGAAACACCTGTTTGCTCTGAACCAGATGTGATAAAAGAAGCTGATGTTTATATTCTATGTTTCTTTATAAAGCTTTCAATCTTGTAATCATCTTTTTTCTATTGAACTCGCTGTAGCTTGAATATATCGCACACATTATGTATTAATCGACTTTATTCTCTGTGTGGCCAATGTAGCTTTTAGAATGAGACTAAATTATATGCAGTCATTGTGAATGACATTCTTTTGACTTGTTACTTAAGTTTTTTTTTTGTTTTTTTTTACATTTTCCTTTGATTTGAAGAGGAAAAAGTGTTGCACTAGAGTAGGCAGGTTTGACAAAACGATTTTGCTGAAAAGATCTGTAAAGTGACCACAAAATAAATAAAATGTGTACAGATGCGCTGGAACATGGTGTTCACCGACTGATCACTCTGTGAGCACGGGACAAAAGGGAAATAAATGAACAGCATGGCAGGAAACGCATGCTGCATTTCTCCCACGTAACAGGAAGTAAGGTTTCCATGGCACCAGAGTCGGGATGCGGGAAAACGTTAGCACAGGATAAAAGGAGTGAGACAAAGAGAGACACTTTGAAAGATACCCATGGCATCCTTCCAAAAGCAACCCGCAAGATTGTCAGTAGTGTATAATAGCCGACTTTGCATGCACTAATTATAGAGTAATAAAAGTAATTTAACACTTGCATTGTCATAAAAAAACATGTTTTAAATCATGTGGGATCTTGAAAAACATTTTTCTTAGTTTTCACTCAATTTAAAAGAGTACTATTATGTAGTTTACGACTCCGTTTTCCTTGGCTTTCTAGGTTGAGGTTTCTCCATGTGGATCAAATGTATGCATAAAGAGTTCAGCGGTATTACATGGTTGTTACTGTTTTCTCTATATTGGTGCTTTGATGGACACACTATCTGTCCAGGAAGCTCTCTACTGCAAAACTAAATATACAGTATATGTAGAGTACTGTGTGAACAGTCTTCATCTAAAGCATGACTGAAAAACTAGTTGTTGTTTTCAAAGTTGTTTTCAGTGATGTTCAATTAAAAGAACTGAAACTATGCAACTTATTTATTTAATTTAACCTTTATTTAACCAGGTAAGATTGATAAAGAACTAATTCTCATTAACTGTGTCAGAGACTACAGGTGGAAACTAGCACTTAGAGCTACACAGAGCATTTCTCCTCTTGTGGTCAATGTATACATTTTTCAATCAATCAATATTTTTTTAAAATACTTTTCTACCTTCAAAATCATACATCGAATGGTTTGTTTTTACTCCTACGTCTTTGACAAGGTGGATTCAGGCAACATATTATAAGTGATACGATACTCATTCCAATTAGTTTGTTTTTAAAACACATTTAATTGTTGCTCATACAAGTTTAATTTCATTTACATTTTTACATAGGTGCTGTATTTGTTAATGTTACACATTAAAACTGGTGAGGAGAAGCATTCCTGCTGTTACACCAGGTTTCTAAAATCTCTCTCCAGTTTTTTGCTCTTGCACAGACAAGGCAAGTTCATGGAAAAAAGCAAATACAGGAACAAATTATGAGAGCTGAAAGTTACAAATCAGTACTTATTCATAAGCATATTGCCACCAGTAGTTTTGTAATCAAATATTTCTTAATAGATAGAGGAGGATAGATATATAGAACAGTTCTGGAGTGTCGCTAGCTCTCGTCATCTGTTCCCTCAGTAAAGAGGAAATTATTTTTTTAATCATTTCCTTTTTTTCAAATTTCTACTTTAAATAGCTCTTTTCCACATGCAGTTTAACTTCTCCTATCATCTTTTTAATGTATTTCTTGTTCTCAAAATACAATTATTCTTCATGTTTTACTTTAGTTTCCTGAAAAGCACTTTAAGTTGTCCTGTGTTTAAATTGTCCTGTACAAAACAACTTGAATCTAAAGTGAATGAGAACACACATGACATTTAAAAATAGTATATAACTGCAGGAGCATGTGGAGATTTTAAAGATTAGTTTTAGCTCTTCAGTAAAGTAAATACCTAAATGATGTGTATTCACACACTGAGATGCCTTATTGGCTGAAATCTATATTATTTTCGACTCCTAATTTGAAGAAGTCTCATCAAATTAGGCAGAAAAATGGCGAGAAAATAAATGCAATGAAGTGTAAGCTAGGTCATTTATCTTTAAAATCTAATAAGCAGTAAGTCAACATGAAGTATTAACAACAGCTAACTGAACACCATTCAGAGAGATTAAATTAGTGTTCATGTACCATCAGAACTGTAAAAGTCACCACAATTCAAAAATCTCAAAACAGCACTTAGTTATGAACATTTATTAGTTATATTTGTATATGTACACCAAAGGTACAACATTTGTTGATATGTAGAAACAGATTTTCTTTTTTTGTTTTCATGTCAACCAAAATCTGAGGAAAGAATGCTTCATTCATTTTTTTTAACCCAATTGTATATTTCTCACACACATACTCTCTTGCCATTACATTGATATTACAACATCATTACAATAAGGGCAGACCCCAACTCATTTAAGGCAGAGATGAAACAGACCATCATGTCTACTTATGGAGTTCATCAAAAAGACACACTTTACAGTGTTTAAAAGCATTCCAGCTTTTCACTGTTACTTTGCATCTAATTAGTAAAATTTATCTGAGCAGGCGTCAAATCTCTCAGCATACCTGTTTAGTGTAAAATTCAAAAAAGCTATTGAGACTGAAGGCAATAAAAAAAAAAAATTAAAAAATAATAAAAAAAAAAAAACGTGGGATTCCTATGAACTTCACTGGCATTGGTTGTGCAACAAACGTGGAATGTGTGAAGAAGTAGTGAACTGAAGGCAGGCATAGACTCTAATGGGTCTAGATATTCATGACTTGTAGGTTTAAATGAATCAGTTGAACAAATATGCCTGAGACTAAGAAGCCAGCATGTTTCCTTTAAAAATGTTTCCGATAATTCACCTGAGGATTGTTGCTCTGTACTGTGGTAGGCATAGAAGTAGCACAGGTATTTATTCTTTCTGATTAACTTCTTGGCTATGATTTATCTCTCTCTGTGTGTCCTACACCAAGGGCAAACCCGACCCCTTTTTTTGTCTTTAAACACCTTCACATCAGTTTTACCCTAAATAAGTGAGATTGGCCTCCTTATAGAACAAGAAACCTTCTTTTACTCTTGTCTTTCTTTATTTCTCTTCTTAACCGCCTCTCTCTCTTTTCACACAGACTGCGTTTGATTCAGGATCACTGCAATTTTAATTAACCTCTGCATCGCCACTGAACAGAACAATTATATCCATATATGTACAATGAAAACAAATTCACACTGCTTATATCTTTATGGAACAAACATTCAAAACGCTTACATTAGATACAAAAGAAAAGATATTTATATATCATATGTGTGACGGAAATGTTAAAAAGCTAGTTAACAGCAATTAGAAAATGAAATCATACAGGCAATTTATTACATGTTGTCCTCTATACATTTTGTCTAATCTAATAAAACAAATGTTTTTTTTTTTTTTTTTTTTTTTTTTTCTCCCCTTCCTCTAGCTGATTACATTTCAAAGAGTCACAGGAATGAAACCTTATTTCTACATGGCATTTCAAAAGAAACAAAACCAATCAATAAAAGGAAATCTGTTAACTACAATATATACACAAAGTGCATGGAGGCACTTCAAAATATCATGCTTTTAAGATAGTGGTGCAAAAAAAAAATAATAATTAGAATTTTTTTTAATTCATGCGTCTACAACCATAATATTGAGCATAGTAGTCATTCAATACTCTGTCCCCTTATGTGACACTATGGTTTACATTGTCTCTTCACTGGAGAAGTTTTATTTTTATATATATATATATATATATATCCTGAATATCACAAGATCTAAAGGTAAGGCTTAAAGAGCCTGTAAAGGTGTCAATTCTGTGCTCTGTAGCTCAGGAAATATGGATCAAACTTGACTGACCTTTAGGATTTAAGTGTTTTTAATGTGTGATTCAGGGATAAAAGCCCAGGTGATTTAATGAGTGTCTATGTGTGTGTTTTATTTTATTATTTTTTTTAGTCTAAGCATGCGTCAGTCCTTTAAAATGTTAAGTAGAACACCAGTGTTGTTGAAAACATGCCTCGCTTATGTTAAATTAACTTAAAAAGGTGTATGCTGAGAATGTGCTTTGAGAACTAAAGGACAAAGTGCTAAGTTAGGTTTTCTATTGTTACAGTAAATGACATTTGATTTGAACACCTTCAAGGCATGGTTGTCATTTCAGCACAATTAAGAAGAAACCAAAGAGGAGAGAAGGATCCACCTGAAAAAAAAAAAAAAAGCTACTGAATCAACTCCCACATAACCGAGTTCTCACTGCTCACTCACACTGGATGAGGGGAAAGTTCAGGATTCAGGTCCAAGGAGGCTGAAACAAAACGGCTAGCTCAAGTGGGGTCAAGACTAACACTTCATTAGTTCGCTAATGCCATTTTATTCCTTTTAAAACAACTGCCATGTTTGCTTTGAACAGTTGTTTTAATAATAAAAAAAAGACAAATCTTCTTATTGGTTATCGCCTCATTAGCTTCATTTTTTAAGTCTGAAGGAAACAAAATCATAACAAAGGAAGGCAGGGATATTAAACAGCTCCAATATTGTCATGGTTTCTAGAAAGCAGATGTGTACATGCACAGAGTGTGCCTTTACGTCATTGCTTTTAGTTTTCTCAGGATACTCAGTTCAGTTAAAACATGGAGCTTTTAAAATTTTGCACTTTTGAAACCATTTTTAGAAAAAAAAAATTCTCATCAAAAACTCAGTTTACACGTAGAGAGCAGGTGAAAACACAGCAGAAAATATAAATTTTGCCCTAAGGGTTTCCACTGGTGATGCACCACCTCCAACCTCCATTTCCTCTGTAAATAATCATTAATAAAAGTGGGTTTGATGAACTGCTTCGACTTTTCTGAGAACAGAGGTTGTTTTAGAAGGTTCGCTTTGGTCTTGGGACCTTCCTAGCTACTCGTTAGCTTCAGCCTTTGGGACCACCCAGTTCAGATTTCTACTAAATGAAGGCGTCAGAAGAGTTAAGATATCAACCACTTAAAACAATTTAGAAGAAGACCACTTAAAAAAAAAAATCCTGAACTATCCCTTCAACAAAGGTTGATATCCAGTTTTCCCTGCTTTGTTTAAACCTTTGCCACCTTTATAAGTTGATCAGAGGCAGATTTTCCTAATATGACCTGATGGTTTGAATAATCTTAGCTTAACCCGTTTCTTCTCTGAGTCCCTTAAAATGTCCTCTGATTGGCACAAAAATACAGCTGCAGCATATAGGGTTGGTAGAAACAGTCTTGAGCTCTGATGGCATGAACACTGATTGCAGTACAGGAAGCCTCTTGGAAATATGATGTAATTGTGAATCGTTGCTGTTGATTCGCCTACTGTGCTCCATAAGTGGTCAGGGATGATTGTGCTTACAGGTACTAAACAGGTTCCACCAGTGGAATGTAGCTTAAACACCATGTGAATGTGTGTGCTTGAAATCCTCATTTTCCACAATATATTCACATTTCTTTCAGTATAAATGTTGAAGGTAAACACTTTGTTTTTTTTATTTATTTTACAGACAAAGCATTGGAGAATGGTGCTAACAAGAAGCTATTTCCTTTAGCTGATAGAGTAAACAGTTCGACATTACAAGAATTCCTGTTAAGGGGAACATAAAAAGCCTGAGTGTCTGCTGTTTGCTGTAAATCAATTTTCGTATGCAGCAAACTTGGCATTTTGACAATAATTGTGCTCCATATAATCCCTACATTTCCTTCAGGGTGCTATATTTTTTATATATATTGTATTCCTTTTTTCGAGAAATAAAAATAGATTTTAATTTCATTGGCATCATAAAGTTACTTTGCGGAAAAAAGGGAAAAGTGCTTTATCATTTTTTTTTTAGGGTTTTTGCTTGCATCATATTGTAGACAAATGTGACAATGTGTTGCAAGTACGTAAGGAGGCAGAGGAAAGGCTCCTGTTAGCCGGTTGACGATATGCCTG